TTTTTCAATCTGATTGCTTATAATACTTTTGTCTCAGTAATGGAAAGCTGACAAGCACATCTTCCCTACAGCATCAGTTAGGGAACAATTTTTTTTCTGCATCAGTGGGGAACATACTCTCACTTTCAGAGGATCTGATTATCTCTTTCCTATCAACACTTGGCTTTATTTTTAGCACTCTTACTAAAGTTTTGATTGTTTCTCTTAATCCCCACTTCAGTACACAAAGAATCGTTGTCCCTTGGCCCTCAAAGAGTCTAACATAGTACCATTCAGTACCTACTTAGTGAATGGCCCGTGATTTCCCACGGTTTGAGGACACCTACTCTTACAAGTGTTCTCTCCATGTTTAAGTCTTGCCCTCCTTTGTCTCCAGGCTTTAGTCTTGATTTTTTATTCAACCCTCTCCCGACAGTGAAGTCTTAAATTTTGTATTTGGTGATATTTAATATAGAGACCTTAGAAGGAGGTCTTAAATCAGAAGCCTCTAACGAAAACCAGATTAAATTTTTGGCAGTTAAGAAAATGGTTTTGCCAAAACAGATACAGAAATAAAGAGTAGGTATTCTCCTTGGCTTGGCTCATTATCAGCCAGAATGTTCTTGCGGGGAGGAATAAATGTTCCCATGCCATCATCATTTGACCTGCACCAATTTTAGGAGTCTGTTTATTAACTTCATTAAGGTACACATGCTTCTAAACATGATAAAGGGATTTGTTGATGCGAAATGTTCTTATTTGGATATAGTATTATCCTTGGAGGATTGACAAAAAAGATTTTAAAAGGATATCAAGGAATATTAAAACGAATCTAAGTTTTATAAATGTTAAGAATACTTTATAAGGAACATAGAGATTGGTCAGTTTATATCCCCGAGCCAAATCTAAATATTAACCTAATGCCAATGCATTAACTCATCTAAGAGTAAGTGACTTATTAGGTTGGATTTCTTTTTTGCACTTATAGAGAATGAACATACAGCTTTTCACATGTTATTTAAGTTCTCTATCATTGAGATATATCCTCAGCCATTTTTTTCTGTGTTTGGTGTTTATGTATGTACAAATGTATGTGAGAGGTACACTCACTCATGTGGGCATGTGTGAAAGTCAGAGGTTGACATTCAGATGTCTTTCTCAATAATTTCTCCATCTTTTATTTTGGCACAGAGTCTCTTCCCAGAATTTGGAGACCAACAATTTGGCTAGAGTGACTGGACAGTGGGCCCCTTCCCCTTTCCAGTATGCCTGTTTCCACACCCACTACACTGGGGTTACAAACATATGCAGCAATTTATACAGGTTCTTAGGGTCTGAACTAAGATCCACATGTGCTTTGAGACTGACATAGGGAGCTTTAGGCTTGACCTCCCTGGAGTGATGGGGAATGAAGACCCTGCACACAGAGAAAAGCTTGGTTTGGGTAGGTCATGCGCTCTGATAGAGATGCATCAACAACAACCCCAAAAGTCAGCACATTGATTATACACCGCGTAAATGAGGAGGCATGTAGAGGGTCTCTTCAGAGGATCTCTGTGAGGGAAGAGTGTCAAGTTGGAGTCATCCGAGAGGATAATAGTTTCAGAATAAAAGGTTAACATTCATACTTGCACCAGGGAAAAACTTTACCATTCCTCTGAACCTGTCCTGGGGATTGAGGTCCTTGACATGGCTGTGCTCGTGTCAGTAGTGCACAGTCACTCAGGACTTCGTCCACTCCCAACATTCATGCTTATGTAGATTTTGATAAGCTGTCCAGGACAGTCTTGAAGTTGCAGTCATACTGTCTTGGCCTCTTGAATATCTAAGATTACAGGCTTGTGACACCAGGTCCAACTTACATTAGATTTACACATTATCTTTAGGTGATTGTCTTGAATTAATTTTGTTGTTGTTGTGATAAGGTGTAATACCATGACAAAAATATCTTAAAAATTCACTTTGGATTCAAGTTCTATCAGTGTATGTTCCGTTGTGGTGAGAAGTATGTAGAAGTACACAGGGAAGGAATGGTGACCCGGGACATAAGGCTGGCTAGTCACACTGCACCCATGCCCAGGAAGCAGAGAATGAATGAGAAGAAGGTTGTTAAAGCTCCAGGCCTCCCAGTAACTTGCTTCCTCCAGTAAGCTTCTAGTCCCTAAGCACTGCACGACTTTCTCAAAGAACATCACAAGCTGGGACAGTGCCGCATAAACCTGTAGGAGACATTTTACATTCAAATCAAAACAGTGACTTTATACTTAACCACACAAGTGTGTGTGTGTGTGTGTGTGTGTGTTGTGCTATATTAAAATACTGTATTATTACAAGATTTGTCTAACTTTCATATATACCTGATAGATTTCACTGAGTCTGAATAAAAGGGAAATAGGAAAAATAGTATGTGGACAATGTTTCAAGCAGAGTAGTTTCTCCTTGTGTGCAATTTCAGTTTTCACAAATATAGTTATCTGTGAAAACTATTAAGTGGAAATATTAATAATTAATGTTTTAAATTACATACTATTCTGAGTGTCATGCTGAAATCTCACATCATATTGAATCATCTCTCTGTAATATGAAATACCCAGACTACCCTTGCCATATTTACTACCTGCCTATTAATCACTTAACCATCTCAGTTCTCAGATCAACTGTTGTAATATCACAGTGCTTGGGTTCAAGTAACCTATGTATAGTATCCTCGTATATACATCACTTACCTTACTTAATCTCAATGTATGGGCATTTTGTCACCTTGTATGGTCACAAGAATAAGGAGGTTGTTGAGCTGGGGAGAAGACTTATTTGGCAAAGTGCTTGCCTTGCAAACACAAAGGCTTGAATGTAATCCCAGAAATCATATTTAAAAAGACATTCATGATGACATACACATGTATTCCCAGTGCTGGGGAGGTGGAGACTGCTTAATCTCTAAGTTGTGTTGTCAGTCAGCCTAGCCTATTTGGCAAGTTCTAGGCAGTGAACATCCCTGTCTATAAAAATAAAGTAGATGTCTATAGACCTACAAGACTGACTCCAACTAACATTTGAGCAACAGTGAAAAGTCTACCATAAATGCCCTTCCCTGATAATGAGATCAACAACTAACTTATCCACCATCATGGAGCCCTCATCTGATACCTGGTGGAAACAGAAGCAAACACCCATACCTAAACACTATGTCAAACTAGAATTCAGATGCAGAGAGAGAGGACAAGACCAGGTTGCAGAAACACAAAGAGACAGCTGACCTGAACAAGGAGGAGCTAATGGGACACCAGACTGATAGCTGGGAATCCAGCATGGGACTGACTCAGGCCCCCCGAATATGGGTCTCAGCCAGAAGGACTGAGCAGTCTAAGGGACCTCAGACAGTGGAACCAGGATGTATCCCTGGTACACAAAAGGACCTTGAGAGCACATTCCCCATATAAAAAAATAAAAAAAAATAGATGGTGACTGAGGAATAACATTAAGAATTAGCCTGCATACACACACATATGCACACTGGGATACACATAAAAACATACAGGCATACATACCTACACATGTACAGCCAAAAATAAGTCTATGTATAGTATAAGATATTCTAATTTTATATTATCATTCTGTTATAAATCTAATTATAGTATAGTACAATTTATTGTAGTATACTGTTATGAGAGGATTTTTTATTGTTAAGTTATAGTAGTTAATCTCTTACTGTAACTAACTTATAAATTAAACTTCATCATATGTATCACAGTGATATGTTCAAGTGAGATTTATGTGAAAGAATGTAGTATATATAGGGTTCAATATTATCCATGGTTTCAGGCATCCACCACTGCATGTCCTCACATAAGGGAGTTTTACTGTAATCCCACACAGGTATTTTAAGAACATTCTGAAAAAAAAATGCAAAGGAAATGGGAAGTGAATAATATGCTCCTTGTGTAGGCTTGATTATTTTTTGCATCTATTATTTAATATAATTTTTAAATTAGCAACCTAGGCATGTAATTACCTGTTCAGCCCAGTTTATCAAAGAATGCTGTATAAGACTGAGTCCTGCTCCAGGACTCAGCTAAAAAAAAAAAAGAAAGAAAGAATTGATAACCATAGATAAGGCACATGATTTTTCTGATAAGGTTTCAGAAATGTGAGATGTGGGGGCAAAAACTTCAGTCACAGTGAAATATCAGTCATTATTCGTTGTTAGATGGCAAGCTTTCTAACTACTGTTATACTGCACATTTCAAAGAACAACAACAGGCTGGAAAAGCATTCTTGACATTTGACTGTCCCTCAAACACTGGCAGCACTAAGTAGACTACATAAAGTTGGGAGGGGACATGATGGGATAATATGGGAGGATTTAAAGGGGAGGGAGTTGATCCAAATATGTTATAAACATAAATTACATTTTAAAACAATAAGACAAATATCAGAATCAATTCATTTACTTTTCTAGAAGCTTAGCCCTTCTCTGTTCAGTGCCATAACTTTCCTCTGCAAGCACACGTTAATAGGTAATGAAGAGGAAATTCTTCAGCATAACTCAGCAAAAATATTACAAATTTGCTTGAAAGTAAATATAATTTCTTCAAAACAAGTCAAGTATTTCATAGGGCAACCGTGAAAATAAGCAGTGGCCTGGGTGTCAACATCATTAAAAAAACAATGTGACAGACACTACCTCCTTATTTTATCTCAAAGATACTTTCTGACTACATGTAGAGGTAAGCAAACAGAAAAAAAAAAGTACACAAAGTACAGGTATAAAGGTGGATGAAACAAAACATTTAACCCAGTTTTATTTTAGTATGGTAATTTTTATCATTTCTTTTCCAAACACTGCAAAAATGAATATATGTCCCAATCCCCATCTTCTATTTCTGTCCTATCTGTGCTGAGCAAAACTAAATCTGTATATCTTTAAATGTCTTTCCACTTCTGTGGCTCTTTCAAGATACTGAACTTAGTGTAAATGTGGCCCGCTAGATTATTAATGCTAATTTACTTTTTCCCAACAGGCATCACTGTTGATAGGAATGGATTCATTTACTTTGTGGATGGGACTATGATCCGAAGAATTGATGAGAATGCTGTGATCACAACTGTAATTGGCTCAAACGGTCTGACTTCCACCCAGCCATTGAGCTGTGACTCAGGAATGGACATCACTCAGGTAGGCACTGCTGGTTTTCAAGTATTATCACCATTTGGCATCGTGGAAATGGATAACAATTTTCTCATGCAGAAATTACATATAAAGGAAGCCTGGTGCATCTGCTGTAATGTCAGATAGCAGAATCTTCTTTTTATGTAAGTTACTTTTTTTCCTCCTCAGAAAGCTTTGGGGGAAAGGGTGAGCTAGGATAGGAGTAGTATTAAGAAGAGTATTGATATAGCAATGACTTCTAAATTTGAACCAATTAAAATTAGATTTGTTCACTATTTCCTAAAATATATAATGTTACTTTTTTAAAAATTGATGTACTTCATTTATTTATATATTGGGGGAGTAGAGAGGTGGGCGTGCATGTGAAGACCAAAGGACAACTTGATAAACTCGGTTCTCTCCTTCTACCATGTGAATACTGGGAATCAAATACAGGTCACCGAGCTGGTTAGCTAGTGCCTTTACTCACTGATCTATTTTGCCAGCTCAGTTTTAATATTTTTGCATACAACAGCAAATGAAATTTTTTTAGCAAAGAGGTGATGATCAAGATCTTCAGAAATCTATTTGGTAAATATGTGAGTGTGGCATGTTATTCGTGTGCATATAAAGAGCTATTTCTGAGATGTTTTAAGTTTTCTTAAATAAAAGCAACACCTTTATCAGATTTGTTTCATACATATTTAGCAAAACTGCGAGAATTTTCTTGTGTTAAAGAGTGTTTGGGCAACACAAATTAAATCCCTGTCTTTAGTGGCTTTTGGTGTGAGAGGGAGAGAATGTGTATACGGATGCATAGGAAATAGGGAGGATTTGGGAAGAAATGGGGAATGAAAAATGATATGATAAAAAATATACTGTACTAAATTCTCAAAAAACAAAACATTAAAAACAAAAACCTTCCAGCCAGAGAATAAAGAGGAAAAAATAGTGTAGCATTCATCTGGATCCAAAATTCTGATTTTTAACATCATTCTGCCAAATCATCAAATGGCATGTAGAGAAATTTTAAAACATACAACATGATTCCAGCACGGTTCTGGTGTCTGTAGACACAAAAGTTTGGTGGATATAAGGTAAGTAGGGTAGGCAATCCTTGAAGAAGCTTTATGCTCTGACATTTTACAGACCTACAGCTCTGATGATGTAATATTTTCAGAGTAATTAGGGTAATATTGAGACAAGCAAAACGCTTGTCTAAAAGTACTTTAAACAACAAAGCTTAATCATTTCATATTGTGAAATGTCCCAAAATGAGCAAAGACACCAAGGGACTCCTTTCTCCAGTCACATTGTCCAGAACTGAGTAGTATATCTGAATGCCTTTACTCATTAGCAAAGTAGAAACTGAATTTTCTAAATGGATTGAGAACCTCTGGAAATACATTGTTTTCCTTGAGCAGGTTGCTACTTGAGCCTTTAATTGAAATTGCGGTTCCTGTAGGAAGAAATGTAGGCTCACTGCTGCATAGGCAACTGATGCAATTATTTATTATTAGGATACTCCAAACTTCATTTTTCATTGCATCTGAACCTGAGGATAACAGGGATAATTAAAGTCACACATTATCCAGTGTTTCTTTAGTCATCAGTTCTAATACCACTCTCCACCTCTGCTAGTGTTCTATAAAATGCTAGAGATGCACCTATTTGACTTTTCTCATTTTCTGTCCTTGTTTCACTGCAGAAATTGAAACAAGAATAAAATGAGGAGTGGGAAAACCTGTAAAATTAACAAACTAAATGAACAAAATTAACAAATTTCTTATTAGATATCTGAGTACATCAGTTGTTCAAGTTCCAGAACAGTTTAAATTTCTATGATTCCAGATCTTACAGAAGCCAAAGAATGGGAGCATTATTTATGTAAATGTGGAAGGTTGTGAATGTATTTATATAGGGGATGGGATAGAAAAAAATATATTTATATATTTATATTTATATTCACGTGTGGGGTATTTTTAACTTAAAATAGAACACTTGAACACTTAGCACTGTGATCAGTCAACGCTAAACAACTGTTGTGATTCTGTAGAAAGTTATTCAGAAAAGAGGGCTCTTTGTCTCAGTAGAGGGACCATATAAAGTTCATCACTGTGAGAGGGATTCTTCACATGACACTTTTTAGTCATAAATAACACTGTAATAGCTCCCACACCACTTTCTGGTTGGGATTTACAGTAGGTAGTATGCTGTGTGCTCACTCAGCAGATACAGTTATGATGAAAATGGTAGGAAGGACCGAATCAGAGAAGTAGGGGAGAAATTTTGGAGGAACTTCTAAGCATATTGGAGCTTTCTTTTCATCCAGTGGGAAATGGAGCACACGTGGTAGCATTAAGAGAAGATTTGAACCATGTGTGGTGGTGCAGGCCTTTAAATTTAGTGGTGGGAATGCAAAGGCAAGCATATCTCATTGAATTCAAGGAAAGCCTGATCTACATAGTGGGCTCCAAGCCGGCATGGGCTACGTAGTGAAGCCCCATCTCTAAAAAAAATGAAAAGAAAAGAAATCCAAGTCCTACAACTGTTGTTCAGTGGGAAAATGAATACTTCTTAAGCAAGGTCCTACATTTAAAAACCAGCACTGCCATCAAAAAAAAATAAGTTTCAGAAGTTGTTTTGATTATGGGATACAGAACAGGGTTAAGCAAAACTGTGTTAGAGAGCAAGAGACCATTTAAAAGGATGTTGTGGTGATATAGGTATGACAAGAACAAAATATATCAATGCATTGGTGATTAATGGCCTTTAAAGAAACTACTATACAATTCAGGTATACTGATGCATGCCTTTAATCCCAACAATTGAAAGACAGAGGCAGGCAAATCTCTCTGAGTTAAGGGCTACCCTCATCTACATTGTGAGTTCTAAGACAGCCAGAGCTACATAGCGAGACTCTGTCTAGAAAAAAGGGAGGGGGAGATAGGGAGGAGAGGAGGGAGAGAGAGAGACAGACTGCCATAGAAAATAAGCTGCTTTGGGGGGTGGAGTCTTAGATATTCTATTGAAAAGACACTATGACCAATGCATCTAATAGAAGAAAGCATCTAAATGGAGCTTGCTTACAGTTCCAGAGAGTTAGACCATAATTGTTGTGGTGAGGAGCATGGTGGTAGGCAGGCAGGCATGGAACTGTGGAATGGTAGCTGAGAACTTAAATCCTGCTCTGCAGACAGGAGGAAAAGAGAGCAAGACCAGGCCTGGCATGGGCTTTAAAACCTCAAAACCCACCCTCAGTGACATACCACTTCCATCAAGGCCACACCTACTCCAACAAGACCACACCTCCTAATCCTTCCTAAACAAAGTCCACCAACTGTGGACCACTTAAATATATGAGTCTATAGGGACATTCTCATTCAAACAACCACAGGTGACGAGCTGCTACTTCCTTGTAGCACATCTGTGTGTTGATCCTCATCATGATACTGCCCAGTTTCATGAAGCTTCATAAGCAAGCACTATTGGCAATTGAATATAAAATATCAAAATATGAATTGAGACAAAATATGAATTGTCAAATCAGGGAACTCAAACCATAGACATGCCTAATTGACTAATTTCCACCATAAAGAACAATGTACAAGTACCAATCGCTGACAGAGAATAAAAGGAGAAGGGAAGCAGATCTAAGCAGGAATTGAATGAAGGGTTCAGTTTGGGACATGTTTGAGTCTGAGATGCCTATGTGTAGAGTCTAGACCAGTGGTTCTCGACCTTTGAATTGCAACCCTTTAGGGGTCAGCTAAGACCATCAGAAAACACAGGCATATACATTATGATTCACAACAGTAGCAAAATTACAATTATGAGGTATCACTGAAAAATAACTTTATGGTTTGGGGTCACCACAATATGAAGAACTTATTAAAGGGCCACAGCATTAGGAAGATTGAGAACTGCCGGCCTAGACAAAGAGGCCTGTAAAAAAATTGGATAGACGTCAAAAGCTCAAGGTCTGAAATGAAGAAAGTATCCATGATTATCACTTTACTATTATCTATAGTAATAGAAAACGGGGGATCAGTGAAACCCTTGGGTAGAATACATAAAGTACAAAGGAAGAAAAGGCTTAAAACAAACTATGAAACAGCAAAGTTTGAACAGGAAATGATAGGATGTATGTGCACAAAGAAGGCTAAGAAGAAAAGATCAAGTAAGGTGAAAACCAAGAAGATATGAGGAAAAAAAAAAAAAAAAAACAAGATTTTCAAAATCAGTATCTCAGGTTGAGTAGATATAATGCAATAAAAGTGGATGTTTTTTTGTTTTCTGTTTTTTGTTTTGTTTTCTTTTAAGCCATTTAATTTTACAATGTTAGCGACTCAGGCAAGCAGGATGCTAATTGGCAAGAGCTGGAATGTTATACTAGAGTAGAAAATGAAGAACAGAAATGAAAATAGACAATTCTTTCAGATGTTTGGCTGTGTATAAGATGATAAGCTGATTTGAACAACAGTTGGATTGATGGTGAGCTTTAGCTTTGAAATATACCAGGTATGATTTATGCATCCTCTTAGGTATAAGAAAATAATCAGTGTAAGAGAGATGTACAATGAATGCAACCCAGTAGGGGAGTGAAGAGAATGATTCCAGGAAGGACCATGTGTGTGCCACAGCTGCCTAGATCCTCAGTGATTATTCCCAGAGCTTCCTGTCTGTCCAGACAACTGTGACCCATGTTTCTCCTGGCTGTCCTTAAGAACATGAGCAGTCTTCACTTAGAAAGAAGACAGCTGAGTAAGGAGCATCATATCACCTTCCAAGAGCAAAGGCTCAATTGCTTTGAATAGTACTTGCAGTGATCCAGCTGGGATTACATACTGCTCAGCTTCATATTTCAGTAAATCAAACTATATTGATGGATGAAGGCAGAAACAAATCCCTAAGAAAAGACCTCACAGTTTGTGCTGATGGGAATGTATGGGAGAGGGAGTAGCTGCAGCATGAAGATTTAACTCAACTCTTAAGAAGGGCTTACTGTTTGTAAGACTACAAGAAAA